ATGTATATAATTCTATTCCATATGCTAATTACAAACATCAATTGATGCTATTAGAGTGTTACATTTCTAGCAATAACTACTGGAGCCATGGTTTGAGCCATGGTTTGAGCCATGGTCTGAGCCATAGGTTGAGCTATAGCTTGAGCCATGGCTTAAGCCGTAACTTCAATAGCCATGGCTCAAGCCAGAGCCAAAGCCAAGCCAAGCCAAGCCGCTCAAGCCATTAACAACTCTATGTTTGAATTAAACTTATAGTATACAAAGTCGCTTACACTGACAGTTTAAAATAAAAAATTTTTAAAGGTTGTTAAATACAGTGTATCATTAAAAAGATGTCAGAATCAGGAGTGGTGAATGTTTTTTTATTCTCCCGTGAACTAAGATCATAGTGTTTTAAAATGGGTTTATTGTTAATTTTTTTCGATTCATATACATAAGATAGATCATAGTTGAAGAGTTTTTTTTGATTTTTAGAATTACGTTAGTTTTTTTTTGAAAATTTCTTCATGAAATTTTAATGTTTGAAAATTTTGCCTTGTTTAAATATTCATATGCTTCCTTCTCAATAATATTACTGTCTTTCGTTGAGATGTCTGAATTTATTGTATCTCGTAATTTGCCTCGTTTAAAATATTAATATTCTTCATTTCTCAACAATATTATTGTCTTGCATTGAGATATTTGAATTTATTGTATCGGATAAAGAAAATGTGATAACGTCATAATTTCAAGTAAAATTATATTGTTTTAATGACTTGAGAATGGTCCGTTATTTGGAGTTAATGTTTCGGTTGGTTTGAAGTATTGATAATTAATTTAATTTCTGGACGATTAGCAGGATCGTTGTTTATCTCTTATAAAAGTTCAACATTTTGAGATAGTGTACTTTTGTAATTTTTTCTCTATTTCTTTGTAAATGAAAATCCTCAAAAAATGGCGGTTTTCCGCTTAAAAATTTTCCAAAGGGCTATTTCGAAGCTATAGGTGTCAATTTCAAATAACGTTTATATTTGTAGGCAACAAAGTATTGAGCTCGATATATTTCAGCATTCCATGAATAGTTGAGTTTGAAGTCATTTGTTTACTTTGATAATTGTCTTTGATGAAATAAGATATTTCTGAATGCTAAATTATTAGTTCATTAGTGAATTAACAAAAATAAAATCCAGTAAAATATGTGATATTGTATTTACCGATGCTGCTCATTTTACCTTCACCGAAAGTTCACTTAGCCGACATCACATAGGGTTAGGATTAGCGTTTTATTAGTTGCAGGTATATATTTTTGGTAAATTGTCACTTGGCGTGATGTCGGCTAAGTGAGTTGATTGTCGGATACTTATTTACAATGTCTCTCTGAATATCATATCATGTAAAATAAAAGACTGAGTGCTATTTCCTTATGCAAATTATCCGTCTATTACAAGGTTCATCTTAGTACTGTATTGTCACGAAATAACGGGCATGGGCGTTATTTAAAAGCTTGGCCCGAATTAAGCTTAATTTAGGCCGAAATTTGGAATTTCACCCCTGCGCGTTATTTCGTGACAATACGGTATATCGTAAAACCACATAATAATATCCATTGCTATCTACTGTATATATCCGTATTAGATAATATTTTTCATTTAATATGATTATTGCTAATATTCTCAAAACTTAATAAATTGTCTTTACTTGTTACGTTTGAATTACATCTTCAGCAATTTCTTAAATTTACTAATTTTAATCTACCTATTACATTATTAGAAACATTGCATATATATACTTGTTAAATATTTAGGTTTTTATTACATACTGTAGATTAACTAGTATTTTATTAATTAGAAAATCACTTTATGATAACATTATCATGTTCTCAAATACCTTGAAAATATTGATAAAAACTTTGTCAAAACTCATAATTTGAAAAAAAAATTTTCATTTAAAATTTTTTTTTTTAGTTTCTCCGTTTTTTTATTAAATAAAAATTTTTACTGAATTGATCAAGTAGTTTTTGAGGAATCATCGCTAGAAGTTTTGAATTTATCTGCACCATAGGATTGTTAGAGATCGTCAATCGGAAATATGATTGATCCGCTACCAATGTTGCATTATAAGTGCGTGATATAGAGTTTTTATTTGACGGCCCAATCCCAGTTTTGTTGACAACCGTTTCGCACGCGATGCCGGTTTCACAGACACCACTTACCCAATTATGAATTATGGCCAAATTATTGTTATTATTATTATTGATAATAAAATACTTGAAATTTCGAAACGTATTCTTTTTTTAAAGTAGAATTGCCTATCTTATGTTATTTATATTAATCAATGTTGGCGAAGCATTTACTAATACGCAACGGAGCAATAAAAATTTTTTGAGTAATTTGTAGGAACATTGATGCAAAAATACTGTTTCTGATAGGGTAAAAAAAAAAAATCCATTTTTCATTTTGTTCCTAATAGAGATCTAAAAACCTTGAGGCCGATTTCTCTTATATTTAGTTACAACAATAATCTAGTACTTTTTTTTTTAGTTTTTTCTTCGACAATCCACCAAAAAAGGTATTTTTGTGACCCGACCAGGTTATCAAGAATGCCTTATAGTCAATTTACTTGTTACGTTTGAATTACGTCTTTCAAATCTACTGGACAGGATATCGCTAATTATCAGGAACAATATTGTATATACAGTCAGACCCCCCTAAATGCTACCCCCCTAAATGCAACACCTTTCTAAATGCACGTTTTCTTTTGGGCCCAACTGATATTACATCTATAGATTTTTACTTCCCTAAATGCAATACCTCTCTAAATGCACGTGCTAGAGCTGGTCCTGACGACGTGCATTTAGAGAGGTCTGACTGTACTTGTTAAATATTTGGTTTTTTTATTACATATTGTAAATTACTTACTGTATTTTATTAATAAGAAAATCACTTTATGGTAACATTATCATGTTCTCAGATACTTTGAAAATATTGATAAAAACTTTGTCACCACTCATAATTTGAAAAAAAAATTTTCATTTTAAATTTTTTTTTATTAGTTTCAAGACCATAATCTGAACTAGGATCGGACGATATGGAGAATTATTTGGCTCTTTATTCGTTACCGTCCGGTCCCGCTCTTTTAACGATTAACCCATCCCTATTTAAGGTTTATCTGACGTCGGAGCAGGATTCATCTAAAAGAATGAAATGAATAGAATGGCTCAAACCTCCAAATCAAATAGCAAAAATTCCAAGTTTATTAAAATATAAATTCTCACCCTTCGTTTCCCAATGTTAGCTACATTAACGAACCGACGATTATATAAAATTCTTTTTTTTGCTCGACCAGTTTTCTTTTTCTTCTTTTCTTGTTTCTCAACTTTAGGAGTTTGAGATTTAACTTTACCGGCTCGAGCAAGTGAGCCATGAACTTTACCCTATAACTCCATTTAATAATAACATGAGTCAATGTTTATGTTAATTTTTAGTATCAAAAAAAAAATAATAATAAGGTTCTTACCATGACGTTACTTTTGCAATTAAAGTAAAAGAGGGGGGAATCAAAAAATTTTTAAATCGAAAGTAATCATTTCTAGGTCGATCCAATCGTGATCATTGACCAATCAAATCGGTCAGTCAATTATAACGGAAGCATAGTCTAAAAATTCCGTTATCGTTATTTTTTATGATGAAACATTTACTACGTATAAAATATTTCTTATCTTTTCATTAATATATAAAACGTTTGATACATATATTTGATATACTGCATAACGATAATAGATTTTGAAAATTTTTTTTTTTTTGACTGACCAATCGAAATAGTCAAATATTGGTTTAGCTATTAGCCAGTAAAAACTACACTTATAATACTTTGGGCAGTGTTGTCAATGGACATGGACGTGGACGTGGACTGTCCATCCATGTACAACACTGACTTTGGGTACCAATGTTATTAATTTTTAACTACAGTATAGTTCTAACAAATAAAAATTTTTAGAGGCTAAATTCAGATTTTATTTTTTATATATATTATGAGACCAATTTGCTAATTTAATATTTATTAATTATATGTATATATGTAAAATGGCCAAATTTCAAAATTTTAGTACTGTAACTTATATATGAAAAGCAAATCAACAATTTAAATTGGCTATTAAGGGTGGCCAAATTTTTTTAATTATAAATTTTTTATAAATAGATTCAAAAAAATTTAAGATCATGAATTGAATATGCTTAGCATGATTTAATAATATTTTAGATAGTATTTTGTGTTTCTTATTATTTTTTTAGTAATTTAAATTCATCAATTTTATTTGTCAGGACTAGGTTTCTATACTATAACAAAATTTTAAAATCATAAAATTTTTAATAAATAACATCTTTTTAATTAAACTATAAAAATTTTTAATTCTTGTTTTTAAAATGTTATATAGTGCAAATCATCTAAAGACATCCAAAATCGTAATTCCTCGGTGAATATTTGGCCATTTCCTTGTCCTGAATAAGACCTATAAAAAAAATGCACTTTTTTTGCGAAATTACACTCGCTCGCCGATTTTTTTTTTTTAAAAAAGAAACGACAGAAGTTTCAAGACTAATGATCGGTAAGGCATTGTTTGATTGTTTAGGTTCTCCAGAATTGTTATCCTTAAACCACTTAAATGATGCAGATTTAATACGACTATCTTAACAATTAAATTTACCATTATAAAATTATTGAAAAATAATTTTTTTTTATTTTTATATACAATTTGGATTATTTAAACTACATAACTCTTCTGACTTTGCATTTCTAGGTAAAAATTATTATTATACAAACCTATAATATAAAAAATTCTAAATTTCTGGTAAGAAACTATTTAGGAACATAATAATAACTTGAGGGTTGGTTGACGATCCTTTAGATTTTTCATGTATTAATGTTCTGATCCCAAATGCTATCATCACGTTTGTTATTACTAAGTAAATTATTTTACTCACCATATAAACACTCGTCAATATAACCCTCCTTGGTTTCGACCAAACCTTGCCGAAGTCGGCTAGTATTAAATGCCCAATGAGGACTATGCTAGTTTACTGCATCCAATAAAATTTGAACAGTTCAAATGATTGTAAAAAAAATTTTTTTAATCCTAACCAGCACGAATGGAAAAAAAAAAAATGGATTGAAATTGTGAACAGGTACTTGATACAGTATATCAATATGATACAATTAAATATGATAACACTTACAATTACAATGTAAAATACTATATACAGTATTATGAAATTACCCAGTTCTCCGTTTTTTTGATGTAGGTTTATCAAACCCTCCATGTAAACCACCCAACTTTGATAACATCGATTTATTAACTCCAGTGCTTTGACTCCATGGTGCATCTTTCTATAAAAATAATAATTTATGTCAGGTTTTATTAAATTACTTAATAAGACGGTTAAATGAAAAACAAACCTTTGAAGTATCTTGATCTGCTAAATGAGTCCATTTAGTTTGTCCTGCTCGACCAAAATTCTTGACTTGCATAACTTTGGGCAATAGTTCCTTATGAGCTAAAATAAATATTGAACAAGTTAAAATAATACAGTAATAAATAGAAAGACGAAAATAAATATAGAAAAAGTAAATTTTTAATAGTCACCTGCTTCATCAGGTGTTGCTTCAGTATAGTCGCGTTTAAATATTTTATCGTCTGGATTCTAAAATTACAATTAGTGATATAAATTATTGGTGCGATGGTATCGGTTCGCTAAAAAAATTAATTAATTAGTCAGCATACCAAATAGAAAGCACCCTTGTGATAATATTTTTGCAGAAATTTATATTGGCCGTGTGGTTTTTTTTCACGTAGATTTTTTACACGCTCCATATCTTCAGCTAAACGTTGTTCTTCACTCATGTTACGTCTCCGTTCAATCTCTTCTTGTTCTTTTTCTCTCCTAAAAAGTGATAATAAAAATTCGGAATTATTACATTAATGGTAAAAAAAATTCTTTCAACAAAGTAAACAAGTCCTACATACGCTTCACGTTCTTCCTTATCTCTCTTGATTCTTTTCAGTTCACGTAATTTCCAGGCTTCGTATTCTGCCTGTTCATCCAATCCATCTGTATCATCAACTTCCTTAACACCAGTTTCTTCGTCGACTGCAAATTTTATGGCCATATTTTAGTGCGACACATATATATAAAGTAGTATATATAAGATATTGTGTATTAAAAAAGAAATTTACCAGTTTTTTGCATTTCTTTTTGAATCACTTCAGCGACCATTGAATGTGACTCTTTTTTCCTCTCTTCTAATTCTTGCAATTTCTTTGCTTCACTCTCCTCTTCTAATTTTTCCTTCCTTTCTTTTTCTAGTATTGTTTCTCTATGAGCTCTAAAAAGAATTAATTTTAATGATTAGCTTTCATATTTATATTTATATTTATATATTTGCCTAAACTATAATATAAAACATACTTCGGGATAAATACAGGTTTTAACAATTTCCTTGATGTTTGTTCTTCTTCTGAATCAGTTTCATACTCTGACGTTTCTTCACTTTCACTTTCCTATATATTATGAAATTTTAATGGTATAAATGATAGATATCATGAAACCAATTAATAGCATACCTCTTCTTCTGTTTGAGTAGCCTGAGCCTTTTCTGCTTCTTCTATAGCTTTTAATTTCTCTTCTTCTTGCTTTCGTTGTTCTAATACACGATCTCTTAAGCGCTGTCGACGAAGTGCTAAATCATCTTCCTCCTCCTCCTCTATTTTTACTTCAGCTTCTTGTTCTATTTTAATATTACGTAACTGTAGATCTCCGACTTCTTGATCTTCATTAAAATGTCTCCGTCTTCTATCAATTACTTCTGAAGTTCCTGCTTCCTTGGCATCTTTCAATCTTCTTAGCCTGCGATCTGAAGCCGCTTCTTTTTCCGTTATATCTACCTTTTCAACACTAGTTATAATTTCGGCTTCTCTTTCGAATTGCTCTTCTTCTTCTTCTTCATCCGAAGAGTAATCTTTTACTCCTTCCGGAACTTTTCCAGGCCAATATCGCTGAACTTTGAGAGGTTGAGCCATCTTTCACAAAAATTTATTATAGGTATTGTTTGGTATATATATATGTTGTATTTTAACTGTTATACGTATATATATATATATGTCCATATGTCAATCATTTATTAAGTATATTAAATAAAGTCTACACTCTAAATATTAAAAATAAAGTTCTCTAGTTACTTACTTTTTATTTATTTCAGAAATCTTTACTATTTATTAAATCACTTCAGAAGAATCGGTTTGCCTAGGCTTTAGATATCTCAAAAACTTTCTTTAATATATGCTTTTCAAATATATGTTGTTTTTTTTTAATTTCTACTGTATTTTTTAAATAATATCCAGCAAGTCAATTAGTATAAATCCTTTTTGTTATCTAAGTATTTAGGTTTTGATACAATTCAATTCTATTTTGCAGCTAACTATCAAAGATCTGTATACTTTTCTACCTGGGGCTTGCCTGGCCTACTTTTTAATTTTCATTTAACTTACATCTGGTAGTCTTATCATGGATTTGTATCAACTATATTGGTTTGTATTTCTTTATACTTTCTAACTAAATTTTTGATACTAGTTGATATGATAAAAGTTGTAAACCCAGGCCTAGCCAATTAATAAAATCAGTTATTATAACAGAAGTTTTTGTTTAAAATATTGCCAGTAAAATTTGAACTCTGTATTTTAGTTATAAATTGGCTAGAAGATTTAATATCTTGATTACTACACTACATTGCCACACCCTTGTTAATTATTTTTAATATCTTTTTTTTTTCAAATTTTTAGCTGAAATATCTTAACTATCAAACCAAATTTAATTATTTTTGATTTTACAATATACAGTATCTAAAATTAAAATATTAAATTTGGCTAGATAATATTAAAATATTTTTAACTTAAAAAATTTGGGTTATTTTATTGGCTTTCCCCTATATAATATTACAAATTTATTTGTAAAATAGAAAAATTTTCTAAAATCCGAAAATTTATTAACACTTCTAAAGAAATTTCTTGGTGAAAACCACGTGATCTGGTGGGTAGGCCATTGACAATATAAACGAGTTAATTCCGGAGTCCATTAATAATTATATTGCACAAACGCGTAAGAATGCATGTTTTATTACACCAAGTACAAATATAGACGCGCGGCGTTACAGACGGAAAATGCTGAAATTACATTTTTATTAAAAATGGGTATAAAAATGACAACATAATCAATTAATTACAGGCGGACCATAACCAATAGAGTATGGATTTTTATTTATGTATTTCTACGCGAATTTCGAATAATTGTTCATTTATTGTGTGCATATTCGATATAACTATTAGACCTAACATAACGCTTTTATTCAAATATCCTGTCTAGTAGTTAAATCATTTAATTTTCTTAATGAAAATAACTAAGTTTTAATAATTTATAGCCTTTAACAAATTTGATTGATTTTTGAGTTTGATACTATTGACTAAAAAATAGGACTTATATTTTGTGTTTGATTATTATCCCAAATGAGGTAGAAATTCCGATTCCCAAACCCAAACTATGTAGTAATGTCACAATTCAAAAAAGGGTCTGGGTCGCAACACTAGATATTATCCAGAATATGCGCTTCCACCGGAAGGTCCATGACTACCAACTGAAGGAGGATGACTTCCAGCAACCGAACTAGTCGGAGTTCCAATCCCCGGTGCGCCAGGAGCACCTGCACCAGTGGGTTGGTTATAACCGTACGGAAAGTATTGCCCATACGCATCATATCCACCGTTATAAGAATATTGTTCCCAGTTAGCGGTAGGATGTTGTTGTTGACCTGCGACTACCGCCGCAGCAGTAGCACCATCAAGAGATGCTAAAGATGGCGGTGGCGCAGACATGCCGGGTGGAAGATCATACCCGCTTTCATTTACAGCTGCGGGATAAGGGTGTGCGGTATGATTACTATAATATCCATACGGATAGTTGTAAGCCGTATTTGGCACACCATATGTATGGTAAGAAGCCGTGGCTTGTTCTGGTGCCCTATCTTTTCCCCATGAACACTGAACGTTAAGATGAAGATATTTATTAGTACCTTATCGTAAAAGAAACGTCTATTCACTTAAAATTGTATTGTAAAAAATTACTTTAATAATTCGTCCATTGATATTCGTATTTTGCAAATTTACGATTGCATTCGCAGCGTTTTCATGAGAATCTAGTCTAAAAGCGGAAAGAAAGATCAATACATTGAATGAAACAAAAACATTCCACAAAACTTACTTAACAAAAGCAAAACCACGATCCGCTTGCATGCGAACTTCGATGATATATCCGAAAGATTGGAAGTATGGTATCAAATGATCCTCTGTCAGGATAATAAATATATCATTAATAATTCAATTAATACGTGGAGACCTCTATTAAGAAACTATTTGTTGAAGACATACGTGTAGTATAAGGCGGTAAATTTCCAACGTATACGGTACTATTATAGTGTGGTGTTTGTGCAACAACGATTTCGTAGGATAATTGAGGTGTTTGTGTGGAGCCTAAGTTGTAATTCCAAAAATATTAGCGAATAGTAATAATACAAATTTTAAGCGAAATTACCCCTTCTACCTTGTCGATCTGATGTGCTTCCAGGACCCGGTTGTCCTTTTTGATTGGCCCAATTACACCGGATAGCACGACTTCCAAGCCATTCCCCTATACAAAGTTATTTGTAAAAAAAAATATTTACATTTCACCTTTAACGGCGAATCATGCTTGATCAGCGTTGCGCCTTCCAACACTCACCATTCATTGTTGCGATGGCTTGTTCCGCATCCTAATGACCATTACAATGATAAGCATAATTAAAAAAAATCGAGAACATGAATATTATCTGTCAAGGCTATAATATAAACAAATCAAAACCTACCGTCTTATCACGAAAAGCAACAAATCCGTATCCCCGAGATTTTCCAGAATTAACATCCCACATAACACGGGCATCCCTAGTGAGTGATATATTTTGATGCGTTTCCACTAGTTAAATTTTGCAATACTACAGTTGATCAACCAATACGTTTATATAATATGAAAACTTACGACATGCTTCCAAATGCGCTAAATGCTTTAGCAAGCACTTCATCGTTAACTTCAGGACTTAAGTCCCCAACAAAGATATGATAATGATCTAAAATTAATGAAGCCAAGAGTAATAAATGCAGTTATGCTTATAAGCTTGACATGATCTAGTTTGATATTGAATTGAAATGCATACTTGATGTATCTTCTTTATGACCTTGTTGTCCTTGAAATGCCCAATTCACCTTAATTTCCTGTTAATATTAACAGGAACAAAAAAAAAAAAGAAAGGAAAAAAAAGAGAAGAGAAAAGAAAAGAAAAAGAATTTAATAATAAAGCATCAGAAATAATGCTGAAGATTTATTCGTATTACAAAAGGGAAAAGTACCATGTTGTATATTTTTCTTCCATTAAGTGTTTGAAGAGCTGTTTCGGCTGAACGATGGTCGTTGAATTCCACAAAGCCATAATTCAGCCCTCCGTGTTGATACTAGAGTAAAAAAAAAATAAAAAAATAAAAAAAATAAAGATTTCTATAAGTGATCAGATTCAATGATAGACAGAAAAATACACAAGGCATCCATATATCTAAAGGTTTAAGAGATCAGCCTACGAGCCAACTCGGTAACTTTTGTCTTGACAATACACTGTCGCCCCACACAAAAACACTAGCTGCAAAAAAGTTATATATAACTGGTTGATCAACAAAGTTAGGCAATTTTTGCAAAGATAAAAAAATAAAAATAAAAATAAAAATAAACAATAAAAAAATAAAATAAAAATAAAATAAAATAAAGCCACCACAAAAAAAAAAAAATAAGTAAAAAAAAATAAAATAAAATAAAGTAATAAAATAATAAAATAATAAAATAAAATAATAAAATAAACAAATTTTATAGGAAACAAATACTCATAATACCACAAGGAGAAGTAAATAAGTAAGCAAAATATAAAAATATTGAGGGAAGATAAAGGATTCCAACCTTTGAGCTGCGTCATATATATATGGAGCGCAACTCGAGTGTCCAGCAAGGCCAGCCATTACGGGGTGACTCCACAAATAGACCTCGTTCAAACAGTGCCTCGTTTCAAGAAAAAAGCAATACTGCAAATCATCACACCACTGAAGGTGGCAAGTCCAAGCTTCAACCTAAACCCTTAAACCTCACAATCGTTATTGGCTTGTCCTGATCTTAAGGTCAACTCACATTTTTATCAGGAATGATTTTCGTATTGTTCACGGAACCTGCTACTCCAAAGATCTCATGAAGCATGCTGTCAGTTACCCTTGGATCGAGATTACCAACATAAAGGCTCTTACAACCATCGTCCGTAGCCATCTTCGCTAGTATGTTCGCCGTTATGGTGGTAATTTTTATTAAAAGAACTGAATTAGTTTTAGATTATTGAAGAACGTAAATTATTTTTTATATATTAAGAAGAAAAAAAGTCAACAATTTTATGTTACGGAAATAGTTTTGATTGGTTCTTTATTTTAAAAAATTATGGGTGCTACACAAAATTTGATTTCGAAATAATGCAAGTGGCTTAGCAATATAACCTTTTTTTGTTAATGCTAGAACTTTAAAGAAACTATATACAATATATATATTCGTTTTTAAGCAATTTATCAATAAACTACAGTCGTCCTCCTCTACAGTCACCTCTGATATAGTCACGCTCTATAAGCACAATTTTTTGAAAAATTATTGGCAATTTAGGCCAGACCAACTTGATTATATAATATAAAATAATTGTAAGACTGGATGGGGTATTAAAACTGCAATTTTATTGGTTGATTTTATATATGTTAGTTATATAAAATTTAAGAGGCAAATACTTTTTTTTTTTAAGCAGTCATGTTTTTATTATATTGTAAAACAAGTATTAACTAAGCCACCTTATCCATTACTTTAGTATATTGTATGTACTGTATATACAGTATTTATTATTTATAGTTATAGAAAGACTACCCAAGCA